CGAGACGACGGCGCAGGATCCAGAAGCTCTGCATTCTGCAGTGTAAGGGGGTTGCTGGGTCTGAATCACTGACTGGGACCCAACATCAACAGCAATGCTCTCTATAGAAAAAGATACCGTGACCAGTCTTGCTGATGTGTGAATAAAGCCGTGATACACATGCCAAGAATCCCAAGCAGGAGGCGGTGCATGCATGGGAGGAGGGAGGAGGGCGGTTCAAACAGCTCATCCCCACCCCTGCCCTCACCTCCCTCCGTCAAGTGTGCCTGCGGCGCACCGCAAGCTGTGAGCTTATCATCCACAGGAGACATAAACTGAACTAGCCAAAGGAAGAAGTCACAGTAAATGCCCTTTCAAGAGCAGGCCCAAGGCTAACTGGGTCAACATTCTTTATTTGGTTTGATATCCCCAAAGAGATTCAATGCCTCCCAACAGTGCTATTTCCTTTAATAAATGACCAAGCAGCCCCTGATATTAAAGTTTGCAGGAATGTTTACATCGATATGCTTTTTACGCCACTCTTCGTTCTCAGAGAATTCAAGGGCAGTCACGGCACATCTTTAAATAATTCATCTGAGTTTCAGCATCTAATTTCAGGCCTGGCTCTGTGTTACCATAGACACTAAGGACGCCAAGATGGCGAGACAGGAGGCCGCGCTCTTGTTAACTTAAAGAACTAAGATGAAGCTTTTACTGCAATGTGGTGCCTGTGGCGGGAAAACATCTTGGAAGCCAGACCTCTCAGTGACCTCTTAGTGAGGTCATACAACTAACAGAATTGTATGACCTCACTAATGCCATTGGGTTATTTGTTTGCCCGATGTATTCCCCCATTACACTACAAAGGAGACTATCATCTGCTTTGATATTTCAAAAATGAATACTATTTTTCACAAAGCCAATCATAGTTAAGTGCTATCAAGTTAGTTCCGACTTATAGCAACCCTGTATAGGGTTTCCAAGAAGCAGCAGGTGAGCTTGAACTGCCGACCTTGCTGTTCAAACCAACTTTACAGTCCAGCACATTAACTCACAGCGTCAGATTTGTTTAAATAGCTTGCTGCTTGTTTAGCATAAACACCATTCCTGGTGCATTTGAAAGGCCACCAGTTTTAGAAAAATGAGATCATACTGTTTATGCTTCTCTACACGGTTTTGTTGCCTCACAAAACCCTGCAGAATTCCCGCTGAGCCAGTTTCTACGGTAACTCATCATGATGAGGGTCCTCCTCCACCGTGATGGGTCTCCCCTGTGATGTAGGTCCCTCATGAGGAAAGTCCTCTTCCACAGTATGTGAGCAGATCAGCAATCTGTGGTCAGTGTAAAGCCTGTTACAGTTCAGTGCTGAGAGACTCGGGTGGGAGAGGGCAGGCCTGGGCTGGCATCAGCACGCTGTCTCTTGTTGACCTCTCTCTGTTTCCTTGTCCATAAAAATGGGGCAAACAGCATCTGTCTCTTAGGACTCTAATGATGTGAAGGAGCGCTGGTAGAGTACTAAGCAAAGGACTGGGACTTCTCATGAGCAAGACATAGTGATTGCTTTTACCATCATCACAACTACAACTATTATAACTATTAGTGTTGTTACCACGATGGTCATTACTATTGTTACCTCCAGGACAGTCACTGCTATTGTTAACACCATGACAACCACTACTGATGTTATCACCATGACAATCACTACTGATGTTATCACCATGACAACCATTACTGATGTTATCACCATGACAACCACTACTGATGTTATCACCATGACAATCACTACTGATGTTATCACCATGACAA